TTCATTGTGTTTTTGTAGATGCCTAGTAGTTCACTGTGTGCGTCTCCCAAAGCTCCTTTACCCGTGCTTCTACTGATGGGCATTTCAGTGGTTTCCGACTTCTTGATATTTCAAGCAGTCATGGAATGCATGTCTCTGCATGGGTCTGTTCATGCTACGAAGCTGACCACTTTAGGGTCAGGGATGGCTGGGCCACATGGAATTTCTCTCCCTGATTGTTGGAGGAAGCACCAGAGCAGGTTCCACAGTGGTCGCACATACAGACAGTACCAGCAGCAGCGCACGAGGGTCCCCATCTCTCCAGATCCTCCCAGCTTTTGTTGTTTTCTCTTTGTCACTGACTGCCATTGTCACTGTCGGGTGGTATCTCATCATAGGCTGACAAGCATCGCTCCCCCCACCCCATAAATCATGTTATTGGGGCTCTTGCAGCTCTTATAGCAATCTATACAGGGATCATCGCTTCTTGACCTAAGGCACCTTTGGAAATGCTCAAATATTGATCAATCCCTTTTTCGTGTGGTGACTTTGTGTATTTCTTCTATCTTTTTTTAGTTAGGCTTGAAGGGTGGCAAGATGAGAAATCAGTCCATGGTAATGCAACACCGCTAGAGAATCTCCTTGCGTTAGGAGAGTGTGTGATGAAGACACAAGGCTCTATAGTTACAGATCAGGTTTGAAGTGGTCCCATCTGGATCCTGCCAGTCCAGTCCAGGATTCGAGGGAAGACAGTCCCAACATGATGAGGAGGAGTCTGGGTTTCCCTGAGCCATTTTGTCCAGAGAGGGGCATCAGTGTGTGACATTGATGGCCAAAGAGAGAAAGGAGAGGCTGCTGTGCATGTGGTGCCTAATGGGGGACCTGGGTGCGGGGGACGGGGGAGCACATGAGGATGCAGAAGCACCAGGCTGGGCGAGAGCAGGCGGCAGCTGAGCGTCCCTGTCCTGGCAGATGAGAAAGGGTCTCACTTCCCTCTGTTGCTGGAGCACTGGGCAAGCACTCAGGGTTTTGTCATAAGACTGGGCAGTAATAAGCAGCCTCGTGCTCAGGCTGCAGCCCAGGGATGGCTAAGGAGCCCGAGTTGCCAGACTTGGAACCTGAAAATTTATCTGAGACCCCTGAGGGTCCTTTTTTATTATCATAGATGAGGAGTTTGGGGTCTGTGCCTGGGAGCTGCTGGTACCAGTTCACACCGTAGCCCCCAGTGTTGGAGCTGCTTCCAGTGCAGGAGATGGTGACCTTCTGACCCAGGTTTCCAGACACTGAGGGCGGCTGAGTCAGCGCAGACTGGGCCCAGGATCCTGGAAGTGAAGAGGACAGAGGTGACCATCCGAGGGTATAGAGGCAGGGAGAGTAGCAAGGTCCTGGGTGTCTTCCCAGGACCCTCCCTCAGCCCCAAACTGGTTACCTGTGCAGTGAGCAAGGAGGGTGAGGAGGAGAGGGGACCAGGCCATGGTGGTGACAGTCCCGTGAGTCCTGACTTCTGAGCTCACGCAGCTGAAGCAGAACTTCTTCAATCTCCCCAATGCGCTCTTCATACTCTGCCAGCAAGGAGGGGCCCTTCATGCAAATTCTGTGCCTCCAGGCTTTCTGACCTCTACCTGGGACCTGGGCAGGCCCCTCTGCCTGAAGAGGACCAGCAGGGTGGGGCTCTGTGGATCCCAGGGGGGTGTGGGAGGTCACAGCTGTGGGTTGTTAGGCTCTGAGCAGACAGAGGACAACAGGCAGGGCCAGGTGGCTGCTCCCCAGCAATGATGACCACCATGGTCCATGGGCTCCCCCTGCTGCCCAGACACTGACAGAGTCATTGTGTGACATCCTCCACACAGCTCTGCCTCCCTCTGCCTGCCCACTGCCCTGCTGTGGTGCTGCTTCTAACAGCTCCCTGCTCCCGCAGGATCATCTCTTTCCTCAGGCACCCCAAGGCTCCATCTGCCCAGGGCTCTCTTCATGACCTTCGTGGTCTTTCTTCTTCCTTCTAAAAATGTCTCCCCATCATGAATCATGTCCAGGGCAGAAACCTCCAAAGAGGGAAGAACTTCGGGATTGTCTCCCTTTATGCATGTCCTTCCCTGGGGACCCGAGTTCTCCTCCCCTGGGCTTCCAGCCCTGCCCTGGGAGACAGGCTGCTCTTTCTCTTGTCATCTCTCTGTGGGGAGAAGCCGTTGCATGCTCTCAGAGGGTCCTGCTGTGTGAATCTTCATCTTCTGTCAACATCTCCACAGATGAGGAAACTCTTCGATGAATGGATCTCTGTTGGCTTCTGGTCTCCAAGCACAGGGACACAAGTGTGCAGAGGGACAGACCCATGACACGCTTGGCAGGCTTTTGCTTCGAAGCAAAAAACCAGCGTGCTGCACATTTGAGAGGGCAATGAGATATTAGATTTCATACCCCAATGCCTGACATGGGGGGGGGGGCACCTGATGCACATTGGGGCTCATGATGAATCACCTCAAACAGGGGTTTAGTCAAAAGTATGGTTCATACTTAAAGTGAGTCCTGTGGAGCTGTTAAAACTTAGAAAGGAAATAATAAGTTCTGGTCTGAAAGAACATCTCCATTATTCATTATTTTACCAAAAAGCATCAACCTTTAGCAAAAAAACCCAAACAACATATTACAAAATAAAACAAATGGAAGAACTACCAAAGTCAGAACGTTTACACAGGAGAGTCTGCAGAGGTTCGTTCTGGATCATGGGATCCGGTGGGGAGAACAGTGCAGTGGTCAGGGGTCTGACGGTGTAAACGATGCATCATCATGAGATTGCATCACTCTGGCTGTTGCAAGGCATGAACATTTTTGCTTTCATTAGCTACTTAAGTAAAAGTTCACTCTGTTTTGGAAGGGAACTATGCTCTACGAAACAATAGAAAAGCTAGTAACCGCACTACATGGTATCGAAGAAAAACTCCAACGAGAAACACAAAAATCAAACACTGCAATAGCAGAATTATACAACACTATAAAGGACCAGCACGATGCTATAAAAGAACAGAAACATAATTGAACACACGGAAAACCCCAAAGTCTGCACAAAAAGCCTGCTGGAAACAATCAAGGAATTTGGCAAGGTAGCAGGATACAAAGTTAATAAGCAGAAATCAATTGGATTCCTGTATGCCAACTCAAAAATGGCATTAACAAATTAATACCATGCAAAATATTTATAGTAACCACACAAAAGATTGAAGACCTAGGAATAGATTTAACTAAAGAAACAAATGAACTACACAGAGAAAACTACACAACAGTACTATAAGAAACAAACAAGGTCCTACATAAGTGGAAGAATACCCTATACTCATGGATAGGCAGACTTACCATTGTGAAGATGACGGTACCACCTAAAACAATCTACAGATGCAATGCAACCCCAAGTCAAATCCCCAACAAATCCTTTACAGAAATGGAAAGACGCGTGACCACTTTCATATGGGCCGGCCAAAGACCCAGGGTAAGCAAAGGACTCCTGAAAAAGAAGATCTCAGCAGGAGACCTAGCACTGTCTGACCTAAAACCTACTACAGAGCCACAGTGGTTGAAACAGCCTGGTCCTGGTTCAAGAGACACATAGACCAATGGATCTGAACAGAAAACCCAGACATAAATTCACCAACTACAGCCATCTAATATTTGACAAAGGACCTAGAAAGATCCAATGGGAGAAAGAAGGCCTCTCCAACAAATGGTGATGGACAAAATGGATTTCTATATGCAGAAGAATGAAGCAAGGCCCATACGTTTCCCAAGGCACAAAAATGAACTCAAGATGGATTAAAGGACTAAGTGTGAACCCCAAAGCTCTCAGGATCATCAATGAGAAGGCTGGAACAAACTTAAGGGCCCTATTGCAGGGTATTTAGAGACTACCAAGGATAATGGAGGAGGCACACTCAGTAGAAGACAAGATAGATGAGTAGGACATCGTGAAATCACATCGTCTATGCACATCAAAAGATTTCATCAGAAGCGTGAAACAAGAGCTCACAGATTGGGAAAAAAACTTTACCAAGGACACACTGGACAACGTGCTAATTACCAAAATAGACAGAACTCGACAACAGCTCAATAAGAAAATAACAAGTGACACAATTAAGAAATGGGAAAAAGACATGTACAGACAGGTCACCAAAAATGAATCACAAATGGCTGGCAAACACCTGAAAAAATTCTCATGATCACTAGCTATGAGGGAACAAATTACAACCACAGTGAGATACCACTTTCCACCAACAATGCTAGCTCAAGTTAATGAACAAACAAAAACAGAAAACAGCAAATGCTGGAGAGGACATGGAGAGATTGGAACTCATAAACACTGTTGGTAGATTTGAATACATCCAGCCTTTTCTCCATTTATCATGATCTTAACTCTTGGCCCGGTTGTAAGGATCTTGGTCTTGAATTGTGTTGGAATCCCTACTGAAGGCTGCAGTCCTGGGTCTTCATGGGCAAGTGCTTTCAGTCCTCCTCACTTTCAGCAACAAGGGTGTGTCATCTGCACATCACAGGCTGTCAATAAGCTTTCCTCCAATCCTGATGCTGCATTCTTTCTTAAAACCTTTTATTGGTTTTTTTGGTGGCTGTTGTTTACAGACAAAAGCAATGTGCACTTGGAAAAATTGTAAAAAAAAAAACACACGATAGGAAAACACAAGTCAGGAAATATGAAGGCATGTTATTGAGAAGGAATTAATTTGCTTCTAGCCCCCTTGTTCTTCTTTTATTTACCTTTTCCTGTTAAGTTTCTTAAATCATTTTTTTAAAAATCAGACCTGGTAGAAATGCATAAATTTAGGAAATAAAGTGCCCATAGTGGCTTCACTGCAATGATAACTACTGAAAAAAATAAACACCTAACTACTTCTGTATATCATTCTTCTTCCTCTAATCCACTTTCTCTGACAATTTTGCTCAATATTGGCTGAGAGGATACAACCCTGATGCACCCCTTTCTTGATTTTACAACAGGGGGTTGTTTGTCCACCCACAAATAATTTTGCTTGAAAAAGAACCGAACTAAAAAAAAAATAATAATAAAATAAAATAAAAAAAGAAAAAGAAGCGAACTCACTGTCAAATAATGGCCTGTGCCCTGAAGGAGGTGCTTGGCTTTATTGTAAGAGATGATGTTTTAAAAGACACATTCTTTCACTACAGTGAAGAAAGGGTGACCTAGAAGCCTTACACTCTGGAGATGACGTGGAGTTCACAATCAAGGACCAAAATGGTAAAGAAGTTGCAACAGATGCCAGACTTTTACCACAAGGGACTGTCATCATGGAAGATAGCAGCTTTGACCATTTTGGGATAACCGTAACCAACGTTATCCCAAAAGTACGCAGGAAAAACCAGAATGACCCCTGGTGGGAACGCATCACAGTTGATTTTGTAATTCCTAAAGAACTTCCCTTTGGAGACAGAGATACCAAATCCACGGTGAAGCTGCTGGCAGGTGACCGTGTTAGATTTCATATGTCAATGGACCAATGTGACACATTAGAATGAGCAACGAAGATAGAAGTTCGATCAAATACATTTCTCAATTCACGAATGAAGCCAGAGCACCGGGTGTGATCGCTGCCGTGAGAGAGGGTTTGGGTTTTAAAAGTGTGTGAATCGTGATGCTCTGGTGTCCTTCCACGTCAGTGTCATTTTGGATGGGAACCGGCTCCATATAACCGATTAAGTCAAGTGTACTATAGTTCCTGATATGCTCTCTGCCCAAAGAAATCATGTTATCAGGATTAAAAAAAACTTCCCCCCAAAACTTCCCTTTCATTCTCATTCCAATCATTGTTTTCTGGGCAGTATGGAAAAAGAAGCCAATTTTCCCAATTCCCAAACCACTAGCCTAGATGAAGGCAAAGAGAAGGAGGCTGAGGATGGCATTATTGCCTAAGATGCTTGTGGGGTGAAACGGACCATTGCTTTTCAAGCCACGGATATGGAAGGATCCTCCTCTCCTTAAATAGGAGTTAAGGTTGGATTCAGTATTAGTGACAAACAGAGATCTGGTCAGCAGATTGTAATTCGTGTGAGATTTTTAGGTCGTCATTCCAACTCCAAGAGGCAGTGGGGTACTTGGCAACGCTGGAGGATAATGTTGGATTTCTTGAAACAGCCAGTCGTGATAAGGAAATCTTTTCCCATTACAGTGAGTGAGTTCCCTGGTGACGTTGATAGCCTGGAATTGGGAGACACGGTCACGCATAGCTAGTCCAAAGGCAAAGGCAACAGAGTCAGTGCAGCAAAAGCAAATACACCGCGCCCAGTGAATGGTATGACTGACGAAGCTGATCCCGCTATCTACTGCGGTAGCGCCATTGGTCCCCTGACAAGTGTTAATCCAACACAGACGGAGGACCAAGGAATGATTGAGATGGTGGGCAAGGGCCATTTGAAAGGTGAGGTGCATCCATTTGCCGCACTTGGGATGGCCAACAAAGGGGACCGCCGGCAGAAAGA